TGCTGCTGCTGCTGCTGCTGCTGCTGCTGCGGGCGCAGGTGATAGAGGCGATGGAGCGTTGCTACCACTTGTCGGTGGTTTTGTTTCGCCTGGGGACTTTGTGTTATTTGTTTGCAACAGTGTTTGCTGCTTTGTGTCTGTTTTCTGCATGCGGGGCTTTGCTGCTGTCGCTGTGTCTGTGTCTGCTGCTGCTGCTGCTGCTGCGGCACCTCAAGTCCCTCAAATTGGTTTTTGTTCCCCGAAAATTCAACTCCGGAAAACTCCAAGGAAATCCAATTCAAAACATTGGCCAGGCGATGACCAGAAGCGCGGACACGGCCCTATCGGGTTTCGCAATAGACCCTCACTTCGGCGCAAAAATCTAGGGTTTAGGGTTTAGGGTTTAGGGTTTAGGGTTTGGGGTTTGGGGCTCGGGGTTTGGCCCTGCGGCGAAGCGCCAAGGAGGTACACAGCGAGGGCCACAGTCCGGCTGCGCGCTGGGGCCTAGGGTTTAGGGTTTAGGGCTTAGGGTTTGGCTGCGTGCGCCCAGGGTTTAGGGTTTAGGGTTTTGGGTTTAGGGGCAGGCTGGAGGAGTCTGGGGGGCCGCAAAATTTCAAATGAATATATTTGGCTTCTGGAAATAAATAAAATAAAAAGATCTTTTTAGAATCTTAAATTGTCTTTCTGTTTCCTTCCAAGTGCTGGCAAAGAGTTTCTTTGCTTCAAGTCCTCTCCAGGACAAATCCATTAATTTGCTGCTTCCACTTATTTGCTGCTGAGGCCCGTTGCAGCAGCTCATGTGCAGCGCAGCAGCAAAAAGGTGCAGCAGCAGCTAAGGTGCAGCACAGCAGCGGACGGGTGCAGCAGCAGCTCATGTGTAGCGCAGCAGCAGGAGGCAGTAGCAGCTCATGTGAAGCACGGCAGCAAAAGGGTGCAGCAGCAGCTCATGCGCAGCACAGCAGCAAAAGGATGCTGCAGCAGCGGATGTGCAGCACAGCAGCAAAAGGATGCTGCAGCAGCGGATGTGCAGCACAGCAGCAGGAGGAAGCAGCAGCAGAGGATGTGCAGCGCAGCAGCAAAAACGCGCAGCGGCAGCGGATGTGCAGCGCAGCAGCAGCACAGCAGCAGCAGCAGAAGCAGCAGCTGCGGCGGGCGCGGCTAGTTGCTGAAGACCCTGGGGCAGCAGCAGGATAGTTTACTGGGACCCTTTAGGCTTTTTCTGAATAATAAGAAAAGATAAAATCAATTTAAATTGTGAATAAAGGAGTAATAATATATTATTATAAATAAAATGAAATAAACTCATTTCTGCTGCTCTTTCTAAACCCAAAAGGCTTTTTGCTGCCTCTCGTGCTGCAGCAGCGCGAAAAATGGCGAAGTGCTTTTTGCTGCTGCTGCAGCAGCCCTGCTTCCGTGGGCGGGAAGCTGTGTTGCTGCTGCTCAGCAGCAACATTGGAAGCAAATTTGGAAGCAAATAATGCCTTTTTTGCTTTTTTGTCCTTTTATTTCTTTTACTATTTATTTAAATGCATGTTCTGATATATTATTCAAATAAATGCGACTTCTGCAGGCCACTCTGGCTGCACTGCACCGGCTCGGGGTTTGTTTTCGCTTTTGCTGCCAAGTGCCGTTGCGTCTTCGTTTCTTCGCATAAAAAGTTTCTTTTTTAGAAATATTAATTTTAATAAATTAATTTGTTTATCATTTGCTCATTTATTAAATGTATGTATTCTTTATCTATTGCTGACACACCGCAGCGAGCAGCGCTGCCTCAGGGCACCGCCGACTCGCCAGCAAAGAGCTGACCTATTGAAGCAAAAAGCCCTTTTATGATTTAAAGAACAATTAAAACACTTTAATTTAACTTTTTTATTTTATATAAAACAAGAAAAAGATGTTAACGCCTTTCAGAAGCCCTGGCTGCAACTCGAGTCACCTGCAGGTGACCTTGGGGGCCCCTAAGGGCCCCCAAGGCTTCCGTTGCTGCTCGTGCCTAGGCCAAGGCATTAGAAACTCTCCAGATAGTAAATTATGATTAAACATAAATATATACTTCTTATTTTATTTATTATTAGCCCCTAGGACAGGCAAAAGGCTGTTGTTCCACTGCGGCACGGGTGCTCCGCCCTAGCTGCTGCTGGTGTTGCTGTTGCTGCTGCTGCATTGGCTGCTGTTGCGGAAATGAACTTTTTTGAAACAACTTACAGCGCCTTCCACGGGCCAAGCAACAGCATGTGGGCGTCGCGGCCCGCTGCAGCGGCAGCAGCAGCAGCAGTAGGCAAATCGACGCGGCCCGCAACAACAGAAGCAGCAGCAGCAGCAGCAGCAGCAGCAGGGGCAGCAGCAGCTGCTGCTGGTGAGCCCTTCTGCACTTTGTCAGCCATCAAAAACCCTCTTTGGGGTTTCTCAGATCACCCCCCCCCGGGGGTCCCAGGCCCCAAATGGTTGAAGGCAGATCGCCCAGCAGCAAATAAGGCTGGGGGCCCCCTTGGGGGCCCCACGGGGGGCCCCGGGGCCCTCGAGGCCCCCACAACTTACTTGGCTTCTTACCAAGACCGGCGGAGAAGTTTTCCCGTTTTGAATTACGACATAAGGGAGGAGCAGCAGCAGCAAGAAGGAGCGGCAGCAGCAGCAGAGAGCACGTTGAGGGGCGGCTACAGCAGCAGCGCTGCAGCAGCAAAGGCGTCGGGAATACTGGCAGCAGCAACAATCACTGCAGCAGCAGCAGCGCCGCCAGCAGCAGCAGCGCTGACGAGCCCTGCAGCAGCAACTGCTGCTAGCGGAGGTGTATATACACCCGAAGGGAACCCTCTTTTTGATGCTTCTCTCTCGCGAGACCGCCGGCACGACTTGTCTTCATTTAATCTGCAGCAGCAGCAGCAGCAAAAAGCAGCTGCAGCAGCAGCAGACGGTGTGGGGCCCCCCCGCAGCTTCGAAACTTCCTACCAACTCATTGGCCACCCAGGTGTGGGGCCCCACACCCTCGCAGATGTCTTTGCTGCTGCCAAAACAGATCAAAGAATTCAAATTTGCAAAAATAAAATCCAAAAACCTGCAGGAATGGATTCTCTCACGGAAGCTTTTTGGTACTTCCCCCCAAAGCTGCCGGCCTACTCCCGCGTCACTGCAGCAGCTCTTGCTGCTCGTACTGCGCCCCCGGAGTGACTTCCAGCAGCAGCAGCAGAAGCAGCAGCAGCAGCAACAGCAGCAGCAGTGTGCGAGCGGTACTCGTGGTGGCAGCAGCAGGTGCAGCAGCAACACAGCAGCAGAAGTGAAGACACCGGTGTGCATAAAGTGTACAGACAGCCAGCAGCAGCAGCCAAGTTGCGGTGTACGTACACCAGAAGAAGCAGCAGGATAACTCAGTGGCTAAGTTTAGTTTTGATTTCACAGCAGCAAATAAATGCCAGTCTCTATTCTTTTTTAATTGAATAAAAACAAGACAAACTCTGCTGCCGCCAGGCATTCCTGCACATTTCGCTTGGCTAGAGCCCCCTTTTGCCTCTGCAGATAGCTAGCTAGCTAGCTAGCTAGCTAGCTAGCTGGCCAGCTAGCTACCTGGCTAGCTAGCTAGCTAAGCTTGGGGCTGAAGCAAAGCAGAAGATGAAACAAGAGAAAATAAATGACACTAAGACACTTGCTGGTGAAGCATTCACAAAGACTCTTCCCACACATCTTCTTTTATCCTTGAGTTAGCTGTAGGTAACCGTAGCTAGCTGTGACTAGCTGTGGCTAGCTGTAGCTAGCCACAGCCAGATGTGGTTAGCTGTGGCTAGCTGTGGCTAGCTGTGGCTACAGAGGCCAGCGCTAGTTAGCTGTGGCTACATGCATCGAGCTGCAGCAGGATGTGGACAGGTGGCTTAGCTAGCCATGGCAGGCCCTAGTGAGCTAAGGCAAGCTCTAGCTAGCTATGGCTAGCTGCAGCTAGCTGCGGGCAGCAGCAGCTAGCTGTGGGCAGCAGCAGCTAGCTATGGCTAACTGCAGCTAGCTGTATGCAGCAGCAGCCAGCTATGGCTAGCTGCAGCTAGCTGTGCGCAGCAGCAGCTAGCTATGGCTAGCTGCAGCTAGCTGTGCGCAGCAGCAGCTAGCTATGGCTAGCTGCAGCTGGCTGTGCGCAGCGGCAGCTAGCTACGGCTAGCTGCAGCTGGCTGTGCGCAGCGGCAGCTAGCTACGGCTAGCTGCAGCTGGCTGTGCGCAGCGGCAGCTAGCTACGGCTAGCTGCAGCTGGCTGTGCGCAGCGGCAGCTAGCTACGGCTAGCTGCAGCTAGCTGTGCGCATCAGCAGCTAGCTATGGCTAGCTGCGGCTAGATGTGCGTATCAGCAGCTAGCTGGAGTCGATCTGTGCAGCTCTGCTGCAGCAGTTTGATTTTCTTCCCCTTGGCTTCCGACTGTTCTTGTTTGTCTTTTCATCATTTGTTTGCATTGCTGCTTGTTTCCGATTTTGCTGCTGCTGCTTCCCTTGCTTATCCTTCCGTAATGCTTCAATTCACTCTTTTATTTTTATTTTATTTTTTAGTTTTTCTGTCTTCTCGAGAAAACGCGAAAACAAGCGGCCAGCTGTCCATACACTGCAGACCCTGCGGCGCGATAGCCCCCGCTGAAACGGAGGGTTTCTGTTGGAATTAAATTTGAATTAGAGTTGCATTTTAAATGAAATCTGCATTAAAAATTAAAAATAAATCTTAAATTTGAGTTATTTGAAGGCGATTGAGCCGAATTTAATTCAGACCTGCCGCTAATCCGAAAAGTTGAATTGCGCGAAAAGTCGCAAAGCGGCAGAGCCGCGAGGTGTATGTACAGCCCAGGAGCCCGCTTCTGCTTCTTTTTTCGCAGCTTTCGATAAATCTCATTACTTCAAAAATGTGTATTTTAAAATGTTTACCAAATAGCGAATTGCACGCATATTATTCTGCATAAAGTGCATGCGTTCTGGGGCTTTTTCAACATTTGAATTTGGCGAATTTGAATTTGCGCTTTTCGCAAAAGAAACTTTGTTCTGACTTTATTCTCTCTTCAAGCAACTCTAGAGAACTCGTATCGTAATTGAGATAGTCTAAGTTGAAAGTTGAAATGGAATTTGTCAGTATAAGATTAAGTTATAAAAGTCAAAAAATGCAGTTTGTAGTTGTAGCCTAAGTGAGAAAAGCACTTTGATGAAATGCAAATTATTTTTCTGAAGGAAAAGATTCCAAAAGCGACTTACACAGATTTGAAATGCAAACAATTGGAAAGCTTTCTGCCGAGCTTTTGTGAATTCTTTTTATTCAAGTTGATAGAAAAGATAAGTCCAAAACTGGGGAAAGTCCGGGAACTTGTGAAGAAATGATGAACAAATGAATGAAATAATAATACGAAAGCTTTGAAGTAACTGCAAGGATAGCTGGTGTCTTGTTTGCTGCTGCTGCATTAGCTGCAGCTGAGCAGAAATGGCTGGAAAAAAAAACTGAAAATGCATGCAAAAGTTGAATGGCCATAAATTTAAATCGAATATTTGGTGAAGTCCTCAGCTTCTGCAAAACTCAGGAGGGGCTGCGTTGCTGCAAGACAGAAGCAGCAGCAAGGCCGTAGCAAAGCTGCAGGGGAAGTAAAATAAAGAATTAGAATGGAGCTTGAAAGTAAAATAGATTTAAATTATATTTGAATAAAAGTTAGGAACAGAATCGAAGCAACACTGTAAGAGGGTCTTTCCTCGGCTACACAGGCTACGCAGGCAGCCAGTAAACAGGGCCACAACATGCATGCAGGCGAGCTGGATTAAGCGCAATTCTTCCTCTTTTTCTTCCGTTAAATCTTTAATTGATTGGAACTGTCTCAATCTGACTTTTAATTGCCTAACTCAGCGCGCGGCGAAATAGAGGTGTACGTACACCCCAGTGTCGGCAGCTGTGCGCTTCCCCAGCTGGTGAGAACGCGGTGCTCGTGCTGCTGTTTGCGCGAAAAGAGAGGCAACTTGCGGATTTCTGAGGAACGTTTCGCGTTAATTTTCCAAAAAAATAGTTTCTAGCCGGTGTCTCGCGCGATTTAGCGTCGGATTCCTCCAGACTGATCGCAGAAACCGGCAAAATGGACCCCCAACGCTGGCCGGCGCTGCAAGGACGGTGTTGATCAGCTGCGTCGGACATGCGGAGGGCGGCAGTTGGGAAATGTTTCCAAACTGTTTCAAAATTAGAAATAAAGGCGATAATTATCTTTGCTCCTTATTTGCTGCTTCTAGCCTTCGGGGGAGCGGCCTGAGCAGCAGCAGCAGCCGCAGCAGGAACCGCAGCAAGCTGAACGCGGCCAACTCGCGCTGACTGTTCTTTTCTTCTTTTTCTTTTCTTTTTCTTTTCGCTTTTCCGCAGTGGCCAAACCCGACGCAGCAGAGGGCCCTGGGGCCCCTCCGTCTCAGCCGTGGGTCTCAGTCGCATTTCGCAATTCTTTCTTTCTTGAATTAATGCCGAACTGCAGCAGCAGCGGGGAAAGCAGAAGCAAAGGAGTTTGCGAAGGGGGCTGCTGCTGCGTCTGTTGTCTGCGCTGGTTTTGCAGAGCTTGAATTTGCAAAATTTGTTTTCTTTTCCGTTTTTTCTCCTTTTTCTCTTCGCCAAATTCTTGACTCTTTCCCTCTGGCTCAAAGCCCTTTTCCACTTTCCTGTTCTTCTCTTTTTGCATTTTATTTCGCATTCAACTGACAACAAATGAAAATCTTTTCTGTTGGCCTCGCGGCCTTTTTGGCCGCGCTCTGCGCCTCTTGGGGTGTAGCTACAGCTGCGGTGACGAACAAAAAAGGTGAGAAAGCAGTTCTTTTCAAACAATAAAAGCAAATTAATGATTTATAAAGAACAAAAAGATTATTAAATGCAAACTTCCGAAAAGGAAAGCATTTTCAGACGCCAAATGCGCAAACAAAAGCAAAAAATAAATTCAAAAAATAATGAATTGAACGGAAGTTGCAAATTCGTTTTTTGACAGAAGCAGCAAAACTAATTTTTCTGACGCAGCAGCGAAAAACTTAAACAAAAATGCAAATTAAGAATTTGCAATTTTCACGCTATGCAATTTATTTCCTCCAAGTTTTTCTTCCCATGAGCGCTCTACTGAGGGCAAATAAAACGCAAAAAGGAGCACGTGGCCGCTCTAGGGTTTAGGCTTTAGGGTTTAGGGTTTGGGGTTTGCGGGCTGCAGTGTCGGTCTCGGAGGTTTCCTTCGACAGCCACATCGAAGACATTCAATGGTGCGGCGAAGACCACCGGACAGTTTTGTTGAAGACTCGAAACGGGCGTCTGTACAGGTCGAAAGATGGGGGCAAGACTTGGATGGAGATTTCGGATTTGTTGAAGACGGAAGAGGTGGGGGCCCCCCCCCCGGGGGCCCCCGGGGCGGGGGAGGCCCCCGAGGGGGCCCCCGGGGCCCCCGGCGCCGGCGTCGCGCTCGTGGACAGCATCATGGTCTCGCCCGTGAACAAAAACATCGTCGTGATCGTGGGGACGAAGAGAAACCACTTCGTTTCGGAAGATGCTGCTGTCAGTTTCCGCAGAATTCGATATACTTCCACCATTCATAACTTCCACTTCCACCCCACGCGCGCGGGCTACGCACTGGTGTCCACGTGGACTGACGCCTGCTACGCGAAGAGCGCGGCCTCTGCGAAAAAGGAAGAAGAGTGCAACCACCAGCTGTACTACACCCCCGACTTGGGCCGATCTTTCAAACTTGTCAGCGAATACGTCGTCCAGTTTTCCTGGGGAGACAAACACATTCAAGTGCAAGACAATATTTACTTCACGCAGCACAGAGGCCGTTCCGGCGACCAGCCCAGATACGGCGGATGGGTGAGTTCAGGTGTACGGACACCCGAAACGCCGCGCCTTGCGCGCCGCGTTCCGAGGGAAAGCGGCACTTAAATCGGGGATTCGACACATTACTCAACTTGTTTTTGCGTATTTTTTATTAATTCTTCTCTAATTCCTGTTTTGCGAATTCGTTCCGCCTCAGTCGAAAAACGTGGATCTCATGGTGACCAAAGACTTCGGGCGCACAGTCAGCCGGCTGGTCTACCGCGGCAACAAGTTTCTCTTGTCAAACGGATACTTCTTTGTCGCAAAAGTCAAAGACGCAGTTAAACAAACCGTGACGCTTCTCGTTTCCACTGACGGGGGCGTTACCTTCTCGGTGAGCGTTTGCGCGGG